CCGCCCCCTCGCCGCCTCCCTCCTCCCCGCCCTCCCCGCCCTCCCCGCCGGTGGTAGGCGCCGGAAGTGCCGCCATTTTGGGGTGTTCTGCTCTAGCGGCGGCGGCGGCGGGACGCGGAGGCTCCCCCGGGACTTGGCCTCAGCAACGAGGCGGCGGCTGCGGAGGCGCAGGCAGCAGCTGACGCGGCGGCGGGCTCAGGAGCAGCCGCTGGTGAGTGCGGCGGCCGCGGGATAACGGGCCGCGGGGTTGAGGGAGGAGGGAGGCCGAGGGAGAGGGAGGGAAAGGAGGTGGAGGGAGGCGGGGCGGGTCCCGTGTGGGCGGCCGCGGGTCACAGGGCCCTCGGGGCGCGGTCGTCCAGCTCTCCTGCGCCCCGGGACAGGACCTTGGGGGCCTCCGGGGCCGGGTTCCTCGGCGCCCAGGGCCTGTCGCGAGCCCCGCGCCGGGAGAGACCCGCCCTCCTCGTGGTCCGGGGCCGCGTCCCTGCCCGGAGGTGTCCCCGTGCCCCTCCTCGCTGCCCTGTCCGGTCCAGTCTGCCGGCCCGAACGCCCCTGCGCTGACCCCTTCGCCCCACGTGTTCCGGGTGCCCACCCCGGGGCGCCCCAGGAACCAGCCTCTAGAGGGCAGCGCTCCTCCTGAGGCTCGGGAGCCCCCTGTTCCTCGCCCCAGATCCGCGGCGCCTGGCGCGCCCTCCCCCACGTCAGGTGCACACCCCGTCACCGCCGCACTCTGGGGCGCGGCCGGGGACCCGGCTTTCATTTCGGAGATCAGGCGTCGGGGCGGTGGTCCTCCCGGCAGGATGCTGTCCTAGTTCTGTGGGCTCCTCGCACATGCTCCGAGGGGCTTCCGACTGGTGTGGGCTGCTTTCCCTGGTGGAGGGGAGAGAAGGTGGCGGGGTTTGGTGGGAGTATGTTTCCAGCAAAATTGCTATCCCTCTCCGGGAGCTGGAGTTGGCGCTGCGCGTTTGCGACCGAGTAGTTTGAAAGAGCTTGGGTGCTGTACAGTGTTCGTGCTGGGGGAGGTCGCTAATTCCGTGTCGCCCTCTGCGGGAACTTCACCCTCGAAAGGTCTTTCGCTCTGATTCTGTCCGCCCCAAGGCTTTAAGTGCGATCTTCCCCCTTTCCACACGGGCAGCACTCTGTCTGCCCCTCTGCCTCTGTGTGAGATAGAGATATCTATCTATCTATCTATCTCATATATATATATATATTTTTTTTTTTTTTTTTTTTTTTTTTTTTTATTTTTTATCTCATATATATATATATATTTTTTTTTTTTTTTTTTTTTTTTTTTAAGCCGGGGTCTTGCTGTATAGTTCAGGTTGCTCCTGAACTCACTATGTAGCCCAGACTGGACTCGAACTTGCAGCAATCCTCTTGCCTCAGCCTCGTGAGCTCTGGGATTACAGGCGTGCACGGGCAGCATTCTTAGTTTCAGTTTCTTTGTAGCTTCTTGGTGAGAATGAAGGTGTCTCTTGTTGTCACCTCTTGGTTTCTTCATCTTTACCTTTTCGCCCTGGGAAATCTCGGAGGGGACATGAATTTCCTTCTCTCCCCTTGCGGCTTTTCGTGTTCTAGCTTTACCGAATCTGCATGGCTTTGAGACACGACTCGGGCAGGACTGCGACTGCAGCTCTCAGCTGTTGCTTTACTCGGGAAGCCTGGGGTTCCCCTAGCGGAGGCCGCGCGGGGCTGGCCACCACCTGTTCCATTCCCGGGCTCTGGCTTGCATTCGTTCTTGTCCTCCGGGCTCCTCGAACTTTTAGATATGTTCTCGCTTCAGATCCTCCCTAAGTATCTCCTTTCCCCTGCTCCTGCTTGTCAGAGTAGGACATTGAGGTCCTCAGAAGTTAAGGATGAGCCTGCTGGGCATCGGTGGCAAGCGCTCTTAAAGCAGTTTCTAGACTCCTAGAAATAGTTCACCTTGCTTTTTTTTTTTTAAAGCAGTATCTCGAGCAGTAATGCCAATTGCCCTTTGAGGTGTGATGGCACGGAAGAGCCCTGGGTTTAAAGTTAGAAGGCTTACATTGTAGTCTTTGTCAGTACTAGTTTTACAACCTGGACAGAATCATTAAGTTTATTTTAATCCGCAAAATGGAGGAAATGGTGTCTGTCTCAGACAGTACTAACTCCCTTGCATGTAATAACATGTGAAAGTATGATAGGCAGGTGATGAGATTTGGACCCAGGGGTGGTTTATTTTTCAAAAGATTTTATTATTACAGATTCATTATACAAAATACAGATAAATTGAAAGGAAGAGATTCATCATTGTCAGTCAGCTGATTGTTAGTATTTGAATGTTGTTGTGTCCTCCCTTTTTATATGCTGTAGAAGTGTTTGTTAGTGACTGAAATAAGGTTGTCCTAATCAGAGTTTGGTGATTATTATTATTATTTTTTTTTTAGGGAAGGGGCTACAGGGTGCTCAGGGTCTCACTACTAGATTGGACTCATAGTGATCTGCCTGTTTACAGCCTTCCAAGTGCTGGGATTACAGGCATGAACCACCATGCCCAGTCTCAATTGCTGTCTCAGCGCGGCCTAGGGGCTGGGGCTGGCATGGCAGGCCTGGGATCGAATCCCCGGCCAATCCGCTGAGTTATTTGGCCGGCCCTGGTGATGTTTTCAAGATTGATTGATTTTATTTTATAATTTTTTTGGCACTGGGAATCAAACTCACGACGTGGAGCTTGCCAGGCAGGTACTGTGCTGCTGAGCTACATCCTCCAAGCCTATTTTTTCGTTTAAGCTTCAGTAGTGAAGGTTTGCAGTATGTATTGAATACATCTCTTGGGTGGTATCAGCACATGTACACAGCCTATCTTAATTGTTTTTCCTTCATCTCTTGGTCTCCCTCTTGTTTATTTTTCTTTTCCTCTTGCTTTTAAGGTTTAATGTTAGGTTGCTGGCTATGGTGGTGCACACCTGTAATCCCAGCACTTAGGAGGCCTAGGCAGGAGGATTCTTGGGAGTTCAAGAGTACCCTGGGCTACAAAGTGAGCTCAAGGCCAGCCTCAACTGCATAGCTAGACCCAGTCTCAAAAAGAAGCAGAAAAAAGATTTAATACTAGGTGCTAGGCATGGTTTCTTTTCTGTGTTGTACAGCTTTCCCACTTGAGCTGGTCTTAATGAATATCTCAGCACAGAAGGAGAAATTCCTCATTTAAGCATATGCAAGTCTGGGGGCCAGGGAGATAGCTCAGTAGAATAAGCACTTGCCTGGCAAGTGCAGGGTCCTGAGTTCAATCCCCGGTACCGCAAAAAAAAAAAAAAGTCTGGAAGAGGGGGAAAAGAAGGTGGCAGAGACCTGACAGTTACTGTGTTGGGCTGTTTCCTGATTTTTTTTTTTTTTTTTTAAGTTTTGGGAGCTGACGGTGGTGTGCGGCACCTGTAATCCCAGAATTTGGGAGACTGGGGCAGGAAGATCTCTGAGTTTGAGGCCAACCTGGGTCACACAGTGAGATCCTGTTTCAAATAATAATAATAACAACAATAATTATTATTATTGTTGTTATTATTATTCTGGGGAGATGGCTCAACGATCTCAGTGCCTGTCTGGCAAGCACAATGTCCTGAGTTTGATTCCTGGTACTACATGTCATGCTGGCTCCAAAATCAGGCGTGGTGGCGCACAGCTGTAGTCTCAGTGTTGGGTAGGTTGAGATGGGAGGATTACTATGAGTCCGAGCTGCATATCAAGACCCTGTACCAAATACATAAGTAAATAAAATATTTTTGTGAGGCCTGCTCAGCCCACCTTGGGGGTGGGGTTGGTGCAACATGTGGTACCAGGGGTCAAATTGTGGTCCCTGTGCACTTGCCAGCCCTTTTTTTTTTTTTAAAGTTTTTTAAAATTTATTATTTATTTTGTGTGTGTGTGTGGTCAGCTCAGCCCACCAAGGGGCGGGGCTGGCTGGCATGTGGTGCTGGGGAATTGAACTGTGGTCCCTGTGCTTTGCTTAAGATTAGCTTGTTCTAAGTAGGTGCTTTAGACCACTAAGCCATCTCACCAGCCCCTTTTTTAAAGTTTTTATTATTTATTTATTTATTTTTATATTTTAAGGAAAGTCTACAGGGTATTCAGGGTCTCACTACTAGATCAGACTCATAGTGATCCACCTGTTTACAGCCTCCCAAGAGTTGGAATTAAAGGTGTGCACTGAGTCTCAGTTGTATCTCTGCGTCCCCAGGGGTGGGGCAGGCACAGCGGCCAGGGTTGAACCTCTGAGAAGCCTGCTTGCAGGCGCCTTCATCCACTGAGCTGTTTGGCTAGCCCTTGGAAAAAGTTGTTAAAAAAGGATGTGCTGCTAAAGGTAGAGTGTAAGTCCCGAGTTCCCTGGTCCTTACTTTTCTTCTCTTTTGTGCCAGGAATCAAATTCAGGAGCTTGCACTTGCCAGGTAGTTGCTTATGTTCTGCTGAGCTATATCCCTGGCCCTTTTTTTTCTGGGGCCTTGACTGCTTTTTTTAAAAAAAATATATTTGATTATTGCAAGGTCTCACTATGAAGCTCAGACTGGTAGTGATCCTCCTGCTTTCAGCCTCCCCAGCACTGGGATTACAGGCATGTGCCACCAGGCCAGGACTTTGGTTGGCTCAGTCTGCCCTGGGAGCAGGTGGTGCTGGGGATTGAACAGCGGTCTCAGGGCTTGCCTACACAGGCACTTTAGTCTGCTGAGCTATCTTGCCAGCCCCCTTTGACCTTTTTTCTCAACTGCACCTTGGCTTCTGCAGCTGCATTTCTGATGAGGTGACCTCAGGAGGAAGCAGGAATGTGAGTCCTGGTGGTTGTGGTGGGCCTGCAGTAGCAGAGCTGTCACGGAAAAGGGCATAGACTCCTGTCAGCTTTGGGGGCCTCAAGGAGGGATGCATTCAGATTTAACCAGTGGAGGACTGGTTTGCTTACACTTTGTCCTCTGTCTTTTTCTCTCTTTTTTGGTGGTACTTGGGATTGAACTCAGGACCTTGTGCTTGCCAGGCAAGCACTTATTACACGGAACCATCTCCCCCGCCCCTCTTCCTTTACTTTCAAATTAAGTTTATTGGTACGTTTTGTTTTATTTATTTGTGTGTGTGTGTGTGTGTGTGTGTGTGTGTGTGTGTGGCCAGCTCAGCCCACCAGGGAACGGGGCTGGCTGGCCTGTGGTGCTGGGGGATTGAACCGTGGTCCCTGTGCTTTGCTAAGCTTGTTCTGAGTAGGTGCTTTAGACCACT